AAAAGGTTTTCAACATAGTTTTCTTGCAGACCAATGTCATCACCTCTCCTATAAGACTTCACATATAGTGTGTACAACTAATGAGAAAACATTTTACTCTGCACATACAATAAAGTTGTCGTGTTGGTGAGCTATTGGCTTCTTGGTATACCCCTGATATACCTATACATTTTATTGACAAATAATTTATTAATTATTTTTCTTTGCTTGCAGGTGGCTGTATTGTGAAATCAATAGTTGGTAGTTTACATAAGAAAAGTGAAGTGTTTTAACATTCCATCTTGGTTATACATTTTCCATTTAAGTTAGATTTTTTGTTTAAGCTAGATTTTTAAATGCTAATAGATAGAGTAAAAAATAGATAGATTTTCCATTTATATTCTAATAGATAGAGTAAAAAATCAAGTAAAAGCTCAAAAGGATAGGATTTAATAGATATTCAAATGCCACCTTCAATGTTGAACTCCACCATTCTTCCTTTGAACCTAATGATCTTTAATGATTGTTTTGACAGATAGATACAAAAAATATCCTTTTTATTTGTGGTGGACCTTCCATCGGGCTGGAGAAGGCAATTTCGGAGAGGTGATGCCCTTTTTAATCTAATATATCGTGAGTCTTGACCAGTTATAAATGAATATATTAAATGCAGAAATACATTACATGTGTCTTTTTGTTCTTTTGTCTCAGGCAGCAAGACTCTTTAAGTGGGTTTGAAGATCCAGTTCGTATTCAGATGGCCCCTGCTGCCCCTACATATGTTGTCGTTGGCTCATCACTAATTCACTGCTGGAATCTGTGAGTATACTTGTCTTGAGATCGAGTGATTTTATTCTCAAGGTGTTCATATAAATGGCGAACATGAAAGCGTGAGAAAGCAAAGCTTTCAGCGTTTCCGAGAATGGAATTGATTGTTAGTGATCAGTCTGTGTTTCTGGTAAGGGTTGTACATATTTTCTCATTATTTGTTCATGCTTTTAACTTTTTATTGACCTTTCTTTACTCAATTACACAATATATATTCAGGTGAAAGTTGTTCTCTGCAATATACTGTGATTGTATACATAGTGTTGTAGTTCTTCCGTTAGTGACTTAGTGAGATTTGATGAACTCAATTTTATAGTTACCATTTTGTAGGCCTTCAATATTGGTTGTCCTAATGTGGGAGGTTTAAGTGTTTTAATACTTTATAACAGTCAGCCTATTTCCTGATTACATTTTTTTGTTAATCAGGAAGTCAGGAACTTACATTTCAACACAATTATGATAATAATGATCCCTTTGGTAGTTGGTACACACCCACAGCATACCCTTAAATGTTCTGGATTTATACTTTAGTGGTACTTAGCTTAGAGTTTTATTTAAAAATGAGAAGCTAAATGAGGGCAGTGGCGGATCTAACATGTATGTTTTGGGTGTTCAAAACTCAATTAAAATTAAAATTAAATACTCATATTAATTAATAAGTTAATTAGTAGATGAGTTTTTTTAACCCTTGTTGTTATTAACACCAATAAGTAAAGAAAGAATGTTTTACCGCTCCAATAATAACTTAAGAAAAAAATTATGCCACACCAATGATAAATTAAGAAAAAAAGTCAATAAAGTAAACAAAAAAACACTGCCATACGCCCATACCAATAACTTGAGCAAAAGACATACAACCACTAAACAAGGCCCAACAAATGACGTCACATACTCACATGCGCTACTGTGTCCCTCATCCAATTCTTTATTCATCGAGAAAACAGAGGGAAGGACGGGTTACAAAGCTTGGAGCTTCGTTTCTAAAACCCAGATGAACAAAACAATGACATTTGATAATAAAATTTGAAGTTTTTGGGTGTTCACATGAACACCCTTGAACAGCACCAGCTCCGCCACTGAATGAGGGGCATAATAACACTAATTCATTTAAATGAAAAGATAAACAATCAGTTAGGTAGTTTGATTGTAAGGTTATTTGGTTAAATCCCATTTAAATACATGCAGGAAGTTTTTTTTTTTTTTTTTTTGCTTTTTAATTATTTGAAACTAATTTCTCACTATGTGAAAGCATATTTCTAAGATGTTTGTAATTGTAGTTTGTGATGTTGAGGTACTTTATAATCGTTTCCACTTCTACATTGAAGCTGTGAACCCTTACTTGCTCCTCCTCCCATGGCCCAACCCTTGCGATTTGCGAATACTCCATTCATGTTTGAGTACTCATTTCTATACTTTCGATTTGTGAATACTCCATTCATATTTGGGTACTCATTTCTATACTTTTTTATTATCTGCCTGTTTGGTTTGAGTATTTATTCCTATATATTTTTATTTTTATCTACATAGAAACTGAAATGTTGCATTATCCCTTCGCACATCACGTGTTAGAAGGAAGAGATAATTCCCTAAATAGGAGTAAAAACGTTTTGAAATTCTAAAATAGGAGTATCATGTTTTTTATTCCCTGAATAGGAGTAAATTTCTGCCAAGTCTGGTTTTACAAGGCTTTAAAGATGGCAGTTTCTTCCAAACTTGGCAGATTACTCCTATTCAAGGAATAAAAAGCATGATACTCCTGTTTTGGAATTTCAAAACGTTTTTACTCCTATTTAGGACAATTTCTGTAGAAGGAAAGGACTCTATTTTTTATATCTCCCAATTATCTTTTCTGTAATCTAAGCTAAGAGTAAAAATTTATATATTTCTGTATATATTATAGTTTCTTTCCTTTTGTATCTCAGATCATATCTACTTTGCTCATGTCTGAAACTAGGGCTCCCGTCAATAGAAATTTCTCAGGATACACATGAAGAGGGCGAGGACTATTACGCAACTGAGCATATTTTCATGCATGAGTCCATTCTTCTACAATTAAAAGCTCTAATTTAAGTGCTTGTTCATCTCCATGGATAGTTGAATGAATACGAATTTCCATCTACTGAGGAAATTTAAGGAGCACATTCATATAACCTACTGTTATTTAACTAACTTTTGTAGTTGGGAAAATGGAAACCAATAATCCAACCTTTTAGCGGTCTTCTTTTAATAGTCCCACCTTTTCGTTATTCATGAATAGTCCAACATTTGCACCTCATCTTCGTTCACTGGTCCCTGACCGGTTGATGACCTGCTATTCCAAGTTATTTTCTTATCTTTGCAAAATATTATCTTTGTGAAAGGTAGAATTTATGATATAATAGTTTGCAGAGATAAGAAAATAACTCGGAATAGCAGGTCATCAACCGGTCGGGGACCAATGAATGAAGATGAGGTGCAAAGGTTGGATTATTCATGAATAATGAAACGGTCAGATTATTAAAAGAAGACCGCTAAAAGGTTGGATTATTAGTTTCCATTTTCCCTTTGTAGTTTTGTAGTTCTATTATTATACTCACCTTTGTGGGGATTAAGGTACAGTTCACAGTTTTTATTTTCCCAAACTCAATGGAATAGAAACCTAAAAATCTTAAACTATCAGACTCATGATGTGTACACCTCAAGGCAGCTTTCGTGTATGTAGTTAAAGAGTTCAAATCCTGTTTTGTGATCTCTTATATAAGTATGTCTCGAAACTTTATGAATTCTCTATTATATTTAAACTGTTCTGTGATTTTTTTTTTACATGAACTGTTCTGTGATTAGTGCAGTCATTCTTTTTGTGTTTTCAGTTGGGCCTTATATTGAATGGGAAAAAGAGTTTTCGCTCTTGCTATTTGCTGTATGTAGCACGTAATTTGAATGTATTAAAGTTCACCCCTAATAGCTAACAACCTTGTGATGCTATAAACTTATAATAAGGCAGGTTTGTACTCGGTGATTTAGTATGCATCTAAGATGGTGTAGTGTATAAACATGTCAAAATATAGGGTAAATGGTCATCACAAACATGAATGAGTATTCCCACTACAAATTGCACATTACAAACATTTAAATGTACAAAGTATAAGCAACTTAACCGCAATTGAAGGGATTTGAAGGATTTTTGTACGCATATTGATACAATCTATTACCTCCCTACAAAAATACCCCATAATATTTATTGGGCATTTTCCTCATCGCGCATCGCGCGTCATAACACTAGTTATAACAATAGATTTAAGTGTTTGTACAAGTGTTTCACTTAATTAAACCATAATATTAAATTTTAATATCTTGCAAATCATAATAAATCTAGTATCAAACATTAATTTTTTAGAATTAATAATTAAGAACTAAATAAAATATTATATTTAATGATTAATAAACAAAGTAACAAGTTTTATAAAGTTCTATTTAATCGGTTCGGTTCGGTTTTGAGATGTGAAAACCAAAACCGAACCAAACAACTACAATTTCGTTCAATTTTTTGAGTTTGGTTTCGGTTTTCTTGCAATTCGATTGTTTTGATTTGTGGTTCGGGTTTTTTATAATCGGTTTTTAGTTTTCAGTTTCTATGACCCATCCCTACACCCGACCACCTCCAATTGATGCTCATTTTACGAGAACATAAGCCGACATGGTACCCGTATTGCAAAAACATGTATTCAGGTACCATTAACCTCATAAATGACCCCTCCCAGATGTGTTAACGTTGTCTTTCATAAATGACCTCTTTACCCCTCCCAGATGAGTACAATTTTGAGTACCCCAGTTCAATATGTACGCCGAGACCAAAAGTATGTTTACTTGCAAAATCTTATAGAAACTACAATGGGAAACACCCCCACCCCTCTCCACCTTCAGCTTTCTTATGTTTATGAATTGCGCTAGTCCAAAAGTACAAATTGTGATTTTACGCCAACTAGCTCAACATCATATGGTGCTGACGATAAGTTACGGCATCCTCTAGATCTCCTTGTCTCTTGCAATGTTATTATTGCCTTGACTGGCCATTAAATATACTTCTACTGTCGGGATATTTTTCCTTCTTGTTTGAAGTATGTTAACTTTTGTACCCCTGTATTTTTATTTCATAGATTTTCGTTCTTACTCCCACATGACCTGTTGATATTATACGGAGTATGTGAAGAAACCTTAGAACCAATGCAGCACAAAAACACCAAATAAGTACAATGAATTAGCATGTACCGATCGATGGATAGACATATACACCATCTCAGCCAAACTCATTAAAATATTCCCATAAGTGCATAACATATTAAGATACTACTTAAAAGTCATTTATGGACCTTGAGATCCAATTTTTAAGGATTTGTGCTCCTTGAATGGTAGGCAATTTGTGCTTTGGGAGATGCACGAGGAAAGTTCAAAAGCTTCTTTGTGACCTCGAAATGCAAAGAGACATTCATACTTTGAGCTGCACGAATGACAACATGGTGGAGTGCAGGCGACTTGGAAAGTAGTAATTGCACAAAGCACAATTCAATTTGGGCTCCTGTGAACCTGTTGAGCTTCACGGTCTCAAGCATCCTCAAATCATCTTCAATAGTGTACTCCAAAAATCCTGAATGAGGTACTTTAAAACATTCCTGAATATTAATCTCCAGCACCAATAACTTGGGGGATTTTTTAAGCAATTGGACAACAAAGGGAAGATGCTTCCCAAAACGAAAACTGAAGCCATCAAGTTTGATTTTTTCCAGATTTATTGCAGTGGGAAAGGCTGCTGAGGCCACCGCAACAGCCCTACTCATCTTAGTAATAATAAAATGCAAAAAAGAAAGTAAGCCCAGAGATCAAATTAAAAACAAAACTGATTCAAGCTTATTCAGCTAATAAAAAGAATGTGATACAAAAAAGAACATAATCATAATACAAATGAATATCAATATATTAGGAAGAACCGAAGAAATTCTCACCGAAAACATATGTAGAGAGAGGGTCTTAATACTGCTCAAATGAAGCGGGAGCAATGTTCTTGCTGTCCAACTGAAAGCATCATATATGGACAAACTTTTAAGTTTGGGAGCGCAGGTGACAAAATTCGGTGTCCCAGGACACCCGAAAAATGCTAGCTTCTGAAGTTTGGGCATGCTAAAGACCAGTCCCTTATCATTACCCCTGAACTCAACCGATCTGAAATCTGACGAAGTCAGCCCGGGGAATACACAGGCAGCATTTGCCGGAAAGTAAAAAAGGAAATATTCAAGTTCCAGTTCCTTGATAGTCTTGCACCAGAGTAAACAGGATGGCACCTTATATTGTCTTCCGGTATTAACAGCAGAGAGGTGAAGTTCCTCAACGCCGTTCCTTGACAGAAAAAGACACCACCTGTCTAAATCAGACTGCTTCAGCGGCGGCTCAAATGAGGTACAATCATAAAACGTGAATTTCTTAACGGGTCCAGCTCGGAGCATGAGAATGTCGTTTATTATGCTTACAATAGACGAGCAGTCGTCACTACGGTTTTCAATGGAGCTGTAGAAGGCCGAGTCAAAGACGAGTCGCCCTTGGCGGTACCAAGCATCCCTCCACTGAGTTGAGAGGAGAGCACATCTGGCGGCGTCTCGAGTGGGCAATCGCTCCAAAATGCTTTCCTTTATCTCATCCGGCAGCTCACTAATCGCAGCTTTTCTTCGACGATAGAGAGACATCAGATCGGAAAGAGGATTATCGATCGGATTCTCTGCAGTTCAAATTTAAGTAGGAGCCCAGCGGATGAAAATGGGCAGGGCCGGTCCTATTTGAAGCCCAATTAAATTGGACCTAAATATTAAAAAATTGTAAACCTCTTTTTTTGTCTAAATTAACATAAATAATAATAGTAACGACAATCATAATAATAATAATGTTTCATAAAAAAATGTTGGGGTAATTGTCCCTGCCAGGATATGTCCAATACCCCTCCGGATAAATGAATTCAAAAGCTCATTAAGGCCCCAGGGTTGGGGGGCATCAACTTTACAACTTGTGTCTCACAGCGTGAGGTCCTTGAGAAAATCATCCTGACCATTATGGATGGACTCTCAATATGCTACCCCCGAATAATTGGTAGGAGAGTAAGAATTTGGCGAAAAGTGAATTTAATGTGTCAAACATAAAAAAAAATTATGGTTGAGCGCAAGCCACTCAAGGTTTGCCACATTACCACCATCAACTATGCATGAGTAGTATAAATAGTAACATTTATTTCATACCAAATGGTTGGAAATTTGTATTTGATAAATTAGCTTCTCTCTATACTTCTTCTATACTCTCACAACTCAGAATGGAGGTTTGACTAGATAGGGGTGTGCTGTAATCGTTCTGAGGATGTTTTTACTTGGACTGTAATCTGTCCCAGATCAGACCAAACCAGGTCCGACTTTGATAGTTATAAAAATGCAAAAAGACCAGATATTAGTAGACCAGACTAGACCAGACTAGATCAGATCAGACCAGATCAGATTAGACTAGACTAACAAATTATAGTCCAAGTAAAAACATCCTAAGCATCAACAAAACTTGGTCCACTTTACCTCATACTCCTTTTTGCTATTGTTTTGTGCCCATAAATCAGTAAATAACTGCCTTAGTACACTCAAATTCATTAACCTTCAACGAAAGCCTAAGGGAGGGTGTTGGGACCTTGGATTGAAAGGAATAAACATACACACTCAAATTTGTTCCACTCTATCACTTTTTTTTGTTCCACCCTATCACACTAAGTCTACTACACTTTGTTTAGGTGTGGTTATCACACGTTATTCTTTAAAATATGTCAAGTGTGAAGTGTTGTTATGTTATACTACCCACGTCCCTTAAAATTTTGCCAAAGTTGACCGGCACGAATAATAATAAAGTAAATACTCTGTGATTGATGTTTGTGCAGAGGAGAGAGAAATAACATAAACTACAAAATATTGATTAAAAGGGAAAGTGACAAAGTTTTTTGGGACGTCTCAAAAAGGAAAGATGGCAAAGTTTTAAAGAACGGAGGGAGTAAGATATTATGTGATTATGTCATACTCCCTCCGTCCTGAAAAGGTTAGCCAAATTGATCTGATGACTTTTCCTGGTCAACGAGAACCAACTTTGACCAATGATATTCTTTAATATAAATTATTATGAATATAAAAAATTATGTTAGAATGTTCCTCATTCAAAATATTTTCATCAAAGTATAAAACTAATAAGTTATATATTGATCAGACTTGGATAATTGAAATCAAATTTTTTCAACAAATATTTTCATCAAATATTTTCATTAAATATTGATAATTAAAATCATTGTCAAAAGTTTGTCATCGACCACGAAAAGTCAATACACAAACTTTTTCAGGACGAAGGTAGTATATAATATTTCACCCGTTCTTTAATAGTTACATCAATGTAATTTCTGCACTACTCACACACCTTAGTTTAACAACGATTTTCTACTAATATATATGATCAAATTGTTATCTATAAATGTTTTTAAAATTTTAATTAATACTACGTATGAATTTCCTAAATATTAATTTTGTATAATGTTTACTAATACGTAATTACATATAATAACGGAGAAATTTGTGTGCGGCAAATGTGGAAGTCAAATTGCAACTATTAAAGAACGGAGGATAGTATCTTGGATTGTATGAACTACTGATATTATATAATTGTATGTAATCAAATGTGAAATTGAAAGTGAAAGTGAACGTCGTCCTCCTATTTCATACCCAGAAGAAATTCGAATATCCAAATTCAATAAGGAAATTTGACAGAAAGCCACTTTCATAACATCAGAAAACTCTCTGCTTACTGACAATTTGAACACACAGCTGAAAATTTACAAAAAACCACAGAAGAATCAGAGGCGTCATAGCATGAAAACAAGGTCTCAATACAGAGACTTTCCATGGGACTAGTTATCTATTTATTTTTATTTCTTCCTTTTGGTTTGGTTTCTTCTATATTTCTGTTTTTTAATGCTTTTCTTTCTTTTTTCTCGCATTGTATTATTTCCTCTTTTTCAATAAAATCTCCCAACTCGATTTATATACAACTCGATTTATATGAAATATAACTCAATGCTGCATATATGCTGATTCGCGTGTCACTCAACTTTTGGTGGGCGTGTAGCTTGTCTGTTTTGTTTTATGCTATGCGTAGGTTGTATCCGGTGTTATATATGGAGTTTCGGGTAGAGGATCAACTGATCAAGAGAGAAGAAGATGCCTCTTTGCATCCACATACTTATTGAATAGGTTGTTACGTGCTTTTATAGGGGTTTGGAGCTGAAAAGGATGGATTCTCGACTAGGTGTATGTATAGGATACTGCATCTCGTATCCTAGGCAATAGCCCGGAAGGTGGCCTTTCAAGTTATGCCCGATCGGGTGTATGTGTCGGTTTGCCCGATCAGGTATAAGACAAATCTTTATAAATATATCCCTAGCTTGCACGTCAAAATGTTTTCCGTTTGATACTCGAGACAGGTTAATACCTAATTGAGTATTGCACATACCCGATTGGTATATAAACAATTTTTCACGCCTTCATTTTGTCCGGTCTCAATTCACTTTTCTTGACCTTTGAGGTCCATTCTTGATTCTTTGGCTGATCTTTGAGCAATTTAAACTCCAAATGACATATTCTAAATATATAAAAATGATCTCGAAGAATAAATTATTCCACTGACAATGTGCAATTACTATAACAAAAAACAATAAAAACTAATTTAAAGTACAAACATGCACACTGAAAACCAATACATAATCATGATGCAAGCTCGGCCTCAGCTCAAGGGTTATGCTCGACCTCAGATGCCGAGGATGCCTTAGTCAACTACAAAGGGTTGTTCATGTATATGATGTATTATTATGACTCCAAGGGTATATGGTGTTGGGTGTGTTTCGAAAAACAAAGAAAATCAATTAATAAAAATTAATTAAATGAAATGACTGAAGGAAAAAATAGAAATTAGATGAAGCAGAAAATAGCCAAACCCCTTGCGCTACGCACGATGTCCTTAAAACGTATTTGTTGCCTCCCGGAGTGCTAGGAGCATTGCAACGATCATTTCCCAGGATACGATGACTAACGAGCAACCTTTTGAGCACTCAAACGATTGTTCGGGCGAACTGGAACAAAGTAAGAACACGAAGAAATTTTCAAAGAGAGCTGGAGTGTTTTTGAGCTAAAGAGAAGGTGCTGTTCGTGTATGAATGGTGTATTGTTGCAAACCACCTGCTAGGCTCTTATAAGGACGATTTTTTATGCGTTAGTAAAGTTGGACATCAATGTCCAGAACGTTGGACTTTTATTGATCCAAAAATCAACGTTATCAGCCTGGGCACGAAGAGAGTCTTTCCCTTCAGGAATCTTAATTCCTTAGAGGGGGTTTCCCTTTATAAACGGTTCAAAGTCCCTTGGGTTTTCCGATGTGGGAAAAAACAACACTAGAAACCCATTTTTTCCCAGTTTTCTCCATTTCAACAAGTGAACTTCGAGAATCAATTTCTCATTCACCCGTTATCCATTTTGAGCGTACCATAAATCAAATTGTAGCCCTAAACAAGGACAATCCGAAACCACATTGACCTGACCCAAATCGGAAGTTAACCCTACTCAAAAAATTGTCCCAAAATGACCATTTAATGCAATTTCTAAAATATGGAAATGTACTCCATCACATGCATTCCACATTTCTACACGACAACACACATGCAAAACTAGCTTAAAATACAAGCTTACATGGAATGTGTAAATGTAGGATAGCAGCCTTAATTAAATATTTAACAGAATTACAGAAACGATGCTAAAGACCTTGTACAATATAATGTCTTACAATCAACATGGAATATATTATAGGATTCCATTATTCAAAATTGCAATATATTATAGGATTCCATTATTCAAAATTGCAAAACTAAAGTTACAACTTTGATGCAACCTTACCTTTGGTTCCAGACTTTCGGCCTTGTTTACATGAATATTTCTAGGTTACTTTAATTATTTGGCTACTTGGTTATCAAAATGTTTCAAGGAAACTTCGGACTGCGGAGTGAAGCTAAGAGCCTGTTTGGTGGCATGAAAATCGGCTGATTCGGCTGATTCTGCTTAAATTTATGAGGTTCTGGCTTAAGTGGCTGCATTGACTGATTTTGCTGATTTAAGAAAAAATTATTTTTAAAATATACTTTATTAATAAAATAAAGAAAAAATTATATGTAAAAATGGCTAAAATGGTCATCTATGGTAATTTCAGCCAATACAGCCAGAAAAGTAACTTCAACCTATCTTTTTCTGCTTATTACACAATTCAGTGCGCGAAAGAAAAAGTTACGTGTTTGGTGAAAAAGTGGACTGATAAACCTGATAAGTCGAAAAAAAGTATTACCAAACGGCCTCTAAGTAGTGCTCTTTGTAGATAAGTGTTGCTTTGGAAGATGCACAAAGAAAGCTCCGAAGCTTCTTTAGAGCCTGAAAAGCCGAGAGTTATAGATATCTATAGCTTCCCAAATAACCACAACGTGGAGCGCAGTGGACTTGAAGAGTATCAATTTGAGAAAGCCTATTTCAATTTCGGATGCTGTAAATCCCCATCTTTTAATGAAGGGATTGCTAGCCTTCTAGGACCCTCCAAAAGTATTGAATTGGCTTCTTTCCGGCCGCTATCCGATATCGATTTTGTCAACTAT